TTTTAGCCTTCACACTAGGAAATACCTATAAAAAGACACTGGACTAGGATTGTTTTCACTCTATGACAACCAGACCTTGCACTGACTCACATATGAGTCTGAACAGTGCAGGATGTACTGATATTGGACCATCAAGTTCTTAGGGCAAAGGTGAAATTTCTCTAAGACAATGGATTTTTTCCCTGTTTCAACCATGTGTGATAAAAAACAAAACAAAACAGCATCTAGGAGGCTAAGCAGGAGGACAGCTATGAGTTCAAGCAAGCATGGGTTACATACTAAGTTCCAGACGAGCTACAGAGTAATGCCCTGTCTTAAAACAAGAAGAGCAACGGCAGGTACGGGAGTGCACACTTCTAATCTCAGTACTCAGGACTCAGGAGGCAGAGGCAGGAGAATTACCACAAGTTCGAGGCCAGCCTACTGTATGCAGAATTCTGGCCCAGCCAGGGCTACAGTCTAAGACTGTCTCAAACAATGCCCCAAACCAAACAAACAAGGAACGGGGAAGCTGGGAAGACGTTAGACTGGAGTAAGGCTCATATTTCCTGCTCTCTTTCCCCAGCTGGCACTAGGATCCCAGGCAGAAAAGACAGACTTGAATATCTTTTTGCTGCAGGGAGGTAGTTGGCCTGGGAGACAGTTATGGAGCTGCCTGGAGGGGAATCCTCAAAGATGAGTCTGAATTTGGATATTTTTCTCTAACCTTGAGCATCTGTTAAACCTGAACTCAGATTGCAGATGTCTCTCTGCTCTCACTGTGGGGAGGAATGGAAGGATGCATGCCCCAGACAAGCACAGGCAGGGCCAGTGGTGGCAGCAGCTTGATAAGAGCCCAGTATGGAAGGGTTAGCATTTTGATAACAGTGGGTCATGAAAAGATGACACAGCTATCAGAGACTAGAGCAACTGAGGAGTGGGAAGATGACTAGACCAGACTTGGAGACCTTCTGAGTCTCACTAAAGACTTCCAGGTATCTCTGGAACTGGACCTCAACAGCTGTGTCTTCTTGCATTCAAATAAAATGGAGGTTCAAACCATTAAGAGCAAGAAAGACCTCAGAGACTGGTCAGGTATGGGTCTAGTACATTCTATGTTAAACATAGGGTTGCTAGGGTAAACATTTTAGCAGCTAGAAGCCACTTACAGACATGAGATTGTGCTCCTGAAAGAGCCTGTAGCTCAAGGCTTATGTCTTATCCTACTTCAGGAGGCTGCTCCCAGCCAGATGTGAATGGATGATGGAAGTACCCTTGTCTAATGTTCACCAGCTACAAGCCCAATGACCGCTACTCTTAGAGGGCTAGGGACTACATGACTTCCGCTAGGAGACAAGGGATGGAGAGTGAAATGTCAGAGGGAGACCGGAGTAGCCTCCTCAATGCATCATTAAGCACATTAAGCATTAGGTCAAGAGGCAGAGGCAGGTAAGTCTCTGTGAGTTTGAGACCAGCCTGATCTACAGAGTGAGCTCCAGTCAGGACTACGTAGAGAGATCCTGTCTTAAAACAAAAAACAAAAGAGGAAGAGGTAAGAGAAGGAGAAGGAGGAGGAGAAGGAGAAGGAAGGAGAAGGAGAAGAAGACAAAAACACTAAACTTTATTTGTCACATAGTAGCCAGGAAATCTGTGGAAGCTCAGCACACAGAATAGCAAATGGCCTTTAGCTGACCTTAGTCACTTAAGGTGACCTTGCTGTGTCAACACCAGGTGGTAACTCAGTGTTCTCTCTGCTGTCAGAGAAGATAGAGCATGTCACTTATGGGGCAGAGATTCAGAGTGTATCTTTGTTTCACTACAGCTAAAACACTGCAATAGTTATGAAGAACACAAATGGCTAAAGCTAGAGATGCAGGCCTGATGAGAACTCTTCTTGAAACATGACCTAATAGGCAACCAAATATTGAGATTTTCCAGTTGTGGTATCCCAACAGCAAGACCGGGATAAGCTCAGGACACACATGTTCCTTTGCTTGTTCTGACCAAGGCTTTACATCAGAAAAATGATACAGTAGATATATACTGTGCCGGCTCCCTTAACTGTTGACGATCTAGAGGGAAAAGTATCTCAGCGAGGGGGTTTTCTAGATCTGGTTTGTCAATAGGCATATCTATGGGGAATTGCCTTAAAAATTTAGATTTATTTTATGCAAGTGAGCGTTTTGCCTTCATGTACTATGTGTGTCACATCCATGTCTGATGCCCTCAAATTTCAGAAGAGGATATTGGATCCCCTGGAATAGGAGGGCACATTATGGGGGTTGGGAACTGAAACCAAGGTCCTTTGCAAGAGCAACAAGTACTCTTAAATGCTGAACAATCAATCTCCCCTTGGGAGATTGTCTTGTGTTAATTGATGTGGTAAGACCTGCCCACTGTGGGTGGCACCATCTCCTAGGCAAGGCATCCTGGATTGTGTAAATGAATCGTGGCGACTGAGTTTAAATACGCAGGCATACATTCACTTCTCTCTGAGTGTGATGTGACTGTTTTAAATTCCTGCTGCTTTGACTTCCCATTCTATGATGGACTATAATCTGAGATCGTGAGCCAACAGAAACTCTCTTCTTTGAAGTTGGATTTTTTTTTCTTTCTTTTTTTGTGTCCAGGAATTTACCACAGCAACAGAGATAAAACTAAAGCACATACCTTATGCAGTTTATACTCAATAAAACACTCTGGTATGTTACAATGTTCTTTAAAGAGTAGAGAGAGACACACTATAGTTTGATCAGGAAAATGTAATCAAGAGTGGAATGAACTATTCTTGATGAGCAGGGCTGCCATGACATTAAAAACCCAGTAAAAACCATCAAAGACCCAGTATCACCACTTCCTCTAATACAGGTGAGATCATATGCAAGGGTACATACACAAAGAAGAACCATTGTGTTTATAAACACACACACACACACACACACACACACACACACACACCCTCCTCCTTAGCACTCACAGATAGAGGATGCTAGGATTGAATCTCTGCAGCTTCTACATAGTTCATATAGTCCAAGCTAGAACTAGATTTGGTAACCAGCATGCCTATATCTCTAAAACTGAGGCTTTTCTTTCAGTATCATTGTTCTAGAACAATTTCTCACTAAGCCTTAATAACAGCAGTTGATTACCTCTAGGAGAGTCTCATCAACTTAAAATCTTTGAAACAATTTGGAAATAGACCTTTTAAAGTCCCTCAAATGGGAAGCATTTAGGGTTTTTATTCTAAGATCATAAAATGACCGTGGCATGGATCATATTTGTATTAGCATGTGTGCCCATCTTCAGACTTCTTCCTTTGCTAGTAGGTGCAACTGATGGGAAAGTCATGAAGGCTTAGAACCACAGAGGTCAGGAATCGCAATGTCTGGTGAAAGGCGAAAACCACAGAATTACCTCCTGAGGACCCATGAAAAACATATCCTCCTAAGCCTGGGCTTCCAAAGCATTTGTCGGGATGCCTCCTACCTCTGTGAATGCTCGGATGGTCTAGCAAAAGCAATGGGAGGGCTGCAGGAGGAAGCGAGGGGCTTCTGGGATGCAAACAAAAGAGATGGGGTGACAAATTACAACATGGCTCCATTTTGGCTTCTTACATAATGGATGACACAGACATCCATGCCAGACATGGCCAGCTCAGGGGCAGAATGTACAGATCTCTTCCCTACCCTGACTATCAGAGGAAAATTCAAGAAGGGCCCTGGCTAGAGGAAGGGGTACAAGGAAGTGGGGAAGGTCACAGCATGGAAGGACAACGTGACCCCTGCAGATGCAAGGGTCTGTGTTCCAGCACCAGTATGGCCTGAGTCACAACCAGGAGGGGCTGGGCTTCTCTCCTAGAAATGTGGTTGGTCCTTTTCTCCCAGAGTTCCTGCTGGTGTCTCTCTGCCATGGGTTCTAAGAACAGAAGTTTCATTTATGTCTTCTCAAAGATCACCTACAAGGCAGCTCAAATCCAGGTCTTTTATTGCTGGGGGTGGCGTTCATGATACCTTCTCTGTTGTTTTATTTTGCCTATCTTTTGCACCAGTCAGAAAAGTTCTACATGCAAATATCTGGTCTGTCGTCGATCTAGAAGTCATGCATTACACATCATCATATTTTTAGAAACTGTCCTTCATTATTTTCCCTTGATGGCAATGGTATATGTTCTAATGTCAACTCCTCTGACCCCTGATCATCTTCCTGAGCTAGAGGCTGACTGTGAGAGCCACATGAGAAGCAGTTGGCAGTTGATGCTCCTCCCATGCATCCTTGCATTTCAAAGCCCATCTATTGAGGGCCAGGATGAAAACCGCAGCTTTGAGTTTATAGCTGAAGTCAGGGGATGCATCAAAGCACAGAGACATAGTCGCAAGTTTATCCCCACAGCCTAGGAAGGCAGAGGAGGGGACAGGAGAAGGACCTGTCCCTCTTGTCTGTCTGGGAATAGGGTTACTAGAGTCCTACTCCCACTCCTCAGCATTCAGGGTCAGATGTCATAGAAGGAAGGAAATTATGCCTCACCCATTCCCCCTGGGAGGCTAGAGAGACTCTAGTGCTCTAGGAGGATGGAGAGAAGGAGGCCTTCCATCCTTTACAAAGAAAGTTCCAGAGGCCTTAGAAGGGTTTCCTAAACACCAAGTCACCTCTCATGTGACCTGGAGACTTAGTGACTGGTGAGGGTGGACTGGTTCCCGCAAGGGACTTAGTTCCAACTCCAGCACATTCTTTTGCCAACCCTTTTCAAGAAAGTCCAGACAGCAAGTCTTTGCACAGGCTTGAGCTGGGAAAAGAGAGCTGGCCAATGTGCTAATAGAAATATTAAGTCAAGAAGCAGAGGCAGTAAGGATGCCAATGTGAACCTCCTGGGGCCCTTGCCCAGCTAGGCTGCTGCCCCTCGCCTCAGATGCCCTTAGGAAGTGCCACTTCACACGTGTCTCCTGGTGAGTCTGTATGAATGAGGACCACTCAGCAGACCAGGAGGAAAGCATCTGTGTACAGCTAGGGCAGAGGGCACTTACCTCCATCAGCAGTGGAGAAACTCTGTGGAGACAAAAGCAGGGCAGAGCGTCACTGTGTGTGTGTGGCGTGTCCCATTCCCAACCCCCAGACACAGCCAGAATTTGGAGAGCAGGCAAGACCCAAGCTTGCTTTACTTCTGGGATCAGTTAAGGAGCTGCCATTCTCAACTTACACTGAACTAATTTATTGAGGGATGATTTCAATCATTCAGCAATTATTCTAAGTTGTGTTGGAGATGCTGTTAGAAAAATCCCATCTTGAACTTAATTTTATACAGTTTTTTTTTTTTTCTTATCACAGAGACAGGATGCAGAAATGGGGTCTTGAGAAACTAGGGGCTCACTGGTGTTACCACACAGAGCCATTTGTTTTTACATTGGGTAGTTCCATGCATTTACTGAGTTTGTATTGGGCTCCCTTCCCATTTGCTACAATGTTGCCTTTTCATAAAGGGAAGACACAAAAAGCGAATTTTAATTAAAACCTTACATTGTCATCAAATCTGCTGAAAATGAACTGGATTTACAATTCTAGTGCCTACTTTGAATTTCCAGACATCGGGAAGATACGGGTTGTGGATAGTAGCAAATGAATGGGATTGATCTAACAGACTCGTCCCCATGCCTCCCAGTGAGGGCAGGCCACTCTGCTGCGGGGACAGAACATGTTCCTAGCACTTCTGCCCTCTTTTCAGGGTATGGTTCAGATCAATCTGTGACCCAAAGGGGTCACAAATCAGATAGCCTGCACGCACATGAGATATTTACATCACAATTCATAACAGTAGCAGAATTACAGTCACAAAATAGCAACAAAATAATTTTATGGCTGGGGGTCACCACAACATGAGGAACTGTATTAAAGGGTCACACACAGCATTAGGAAGCTTGAGAACCACTGCTCTATCTGCTTCTCTAGGGGGCTGCCCCCCCAGAAGTTTAGAGAGACCCCACTTTTCTTTCTTCACCTTCTGCAAGTCCTTGAAGGATTTCTCTGTCTCCTTCAGTTTCTCGAGGATGATCTGCTCTTTGGCAGATATCTGGGACTCTTCACTTTCGAGCGCTTGTATTTCCTGCTCCAGCCTGGAAGACACACAAACAGAGGACAAGATGCTTTATTGTCCTGCCATCCATTGGCAAGGAAGCAGCCACCTTCCTGCTGAGAAATCTGTACCTTTCATTGTTCACTACACTGAGAAGCCAGGCCAAGGTTTTTCCATTACGGAGTATCCTGTGCATCCAGCTTTGTTGCCAGGAAGAAACTGATCAAAGGAAAACAAGCCAGGACTGCCTCCGCTGTCTCATGAACCACCGCTCTGCAACATGTTTGGTGTCTGTCCATTGCCCAGCAATAGACACATCAAATCATCATTGATGTGTATATTTCTTATTCAGAGGTAGATTGTGTTCACACAGCTCACTCAGGACAGACAACCAGAAGGAAACGGCTTCAGGTTCTCCTAGCTATCACAGAAGAATGTCTCTTTTCTTTGGATGGCCAAAGGGCAAAGGGCAAAAGGACAGTGTTCCTCAAAGGAAATATACTGGTAAGAAGTGGCTGGTGGTCAGACCCATGCAGACCCATGGAGTTGCTCTCTCCTCTCTCTCTCTCTCTCTCTCTCTCTCTCTCTCTCTCTCTCTCTCTCACTCACTCTCTCTTTCTGTCAGAGAACTCTACTGCCAAAAAAAAAAAAAAAAAAAAAAAAAAAAAAAAGACACAATGGAGGGGATAGACACAACTGCCCCCAAGTTTCTGGATAGTTTCTTAGTTGTTATAACTATTCTATATAGTTTCAAGAAGGGGACTGTTAGCACTACCAAGAGACTCTGAGAATATTCCAGAAGAACAGCTATGGCTATGCTTGGAGGTAAAGCTCAGCATTTGTATTCTAGTATGACAGGAGAAATGATTAGCTGTTGAGTACTTGTTCACTGTTCCAAGAATGAATCCAAGAATGAATGGTGTGATGGCTACTCTTGGTTGTCAGTTTGACTACACCTGGAGTGACCTACATGCCAGAGATAGAGGGCACATATGTGAGAGATTTTTTTGTGGGATGGGGCTTGGTTTGAAGTGGGTGAATGGTGAATCTACTTCTAGTCTAGACCTTTGAGGCAGGAAGACACACATCTAGATCTTGAGGTGAGAAGACACACCTTTAATCTGGGCCACACCTTCTTCTGGAAGTCTACAGAAGGACTCAGAAGGAGGAAGCGTTTGTTCTTTGCCAGCTTGCTCTCGCCTTGCTAGCACATCCCTTCTTTCACTGGATTAGAGCCTTCTTCCTCTAGATTCCAGCATATACTGAAGACCAGCTGAGACACCCAGCCTCATGGACTGAACAACTACTGGATTCTTGAACTTTCCGTTCACAGCCAACTATTATTGTTGGATTAGCTGGACTGCAGCCTGTAAGTCATTTTAATAAATCTCCTTTACATATAAATGAATATATATATATTCATTCTGTAAGTTCTGTTACTCTAGAGAACCCTTACTAATAAGCATGGTTTATTTCATTTAACTTTCCCAATGACTCTGTGAGTAGGGAACGCCATTGTAGAGATGAGATCATCAAGGACTTGTATGGTTTAGTAACTATTTCAGAGCCTTGACACAAGAATGCAAACCAGGAGGTCTACCCCAGTGTCCCCGCCTCCCACTCCCAACAACTGCCCCACATCTTACTGCATTGTTTCCACAACGTTTTGCTCAAAACATTGCATGTATTGTGATAGTGGGCCAGTGTTGTACTGCAACCAGGTCATGGTATATTATGCAGAGATAGAGGTCTTTTTATAAAAGACTCTACACTTTTGGTCCTCTGGAATTCTTTGGTCTGAACTTCCAGTTAATTCATTCATTCATTCACTCATTCACCCATTGGCCATTCACTTATCCATTTTTGCCCATGACCATCAAGGAAGCTTTGCTGTAGTTGACACCTGACTAGGTACATCCATCTCTCCTCTCTCCTCTCCATTGTCTCAGCTCTCCTGGGAACTGGCTACCATTTATATGAGTTTCACATTTAAAATGAAGAGTTCAGGGTTGGAGAGATGGCTCAGGGGTTAAGAGCCCTGGCTGCTCTCCCAGAGGTCCTGAGTTCAATTCCCAGCAACTACATGGTGGCTCACAACCATCTATAATGAGATCTGGTGCCTTCTTTTGGCATTCAGGCATACATGCCGGCAGAATACTGTATACATAATTAATATATCTTTTTTTTTTCTTTTTTAAAAGAAGAGCTTGGAGTGAGATTTGTGAGAGGCAAGGCATATCAAGGCACAGGTATGAACTGATTAGGATGAGATTGCTCCAACCTCAGCAACTCCCCTCCCCCCCACACCCTTCCCAGATGTAAGAAATGTACATTCCTCAAATGACCAGTGTCAGACACACTCGTTTACTCAGGAAAAGTGGGAGCCATGCAACTTAAGGACCCCAAAGTATCCCATCTCCCAGTGTCTCTTGATCCTCTGTCACTGTTATTGCTCTGTTCCCTTTGTGCTTAACTCACACAATAGCTCTCTGTTTGCTCTGATGAACTACACTTTTCTCTCTTTCCAGAAATCCATCCCACACTTAGAACCATTCCGTAAGTCTCAACTTAGGTGTCCCTGCCCCTCCAGTTTCCAGAGTCTCCTGTAGGGGGTGATTTCCCTTCTTCTGTACCTTTTTCTGTTGCTTTGTTTATTCTAAGACAGGGCAGCAGGTATCCCAGAATAGCCTCAAACTCCTGACTCTGCCTCCTGACAGTTCAGATTGCAGGCATGTACCACCATGCGTAGTTTATTGTACACAGAATCCAAGACTTTACATATGCTAGACAAGTACTCTTCCAATTAAGCAACAACCTTAGTCCTGCCCCTGCATCTCTCCTAACCCATTACTCTTATTTGTCAGCATTCTTATCAAATCTACTGTAGGCTATAGAAGCTTTTCTTTCTTTCTTCCTTTCCTTCCTTCCTTCCTTTTTTTTTTTTTTTTTTTTTTTTTTTTTTTTTTTGAGACAGGGTTTCTGTGTGTGGCCCTGGCTGTTCTGGACCAGCCAACCAGGCTGGCCTCAAACTCACAGAGATCCACGTGCCTCTGCCTCTTGAATGCTGGGATCAAAGATAGGCGCCACCACTGCCTAACTTAGCAGCAGTTTTCTATTGAGGTGATTTTCATCCTGGAAGAAGGCTACAACATCTCTACTCTGGTTGTTTATAACTCCAGGGGACATCTAGCAAATGGAGACTGGAGATGCTAATAAACACCTTATGATGCAGTCCCTGCAGAAAAAGAATGACCTGGCCCCCAAATAGCAATGGGAATTATTAATTTCCCCACCTGGATTAAAAATTTATCAAGGCGGGGAGGAACAAACATCCTTGATATACAAACATTCAATGAATTAATACAAAAGCTGAAGCAGGTTGGACAAAGGCCATGAGAAGCACTGACTAGGGAGGCTGTGTGAGCTGAATGCAAATAGAGTCCAAATGAGAGGGGCTGAGTGATGCAGAGGTTTGAACAAAGATGTCCCTTCTGTCCGGCAAAGCCTTCTGCACAAGTCTCTGTGAATTATTCTAGGGAGGAGTGGATGAAAGGCATGAGAGCAGAGGAAGAACAACCCACACGAGACAGCTGAAGTGACCTACAAATTGCAGCAATGCAATTTCTGGGCCAGAGATCTTAAGAGATCTTAAGGTCAGGAAGCATGAAACCAGTGACCAGGTGAGTTCTGAGATTTCACCTTGTAGGGCCCTGCATGGACCCCTGAAACACCTTGAGCAAGCCTGAAGCTGTTGGCTGGAACTCCTTGCCCCAAGGCTGTTGTTGGTACTCTTCCCGTTTTGATAACACACACCTCGTGACAACACACACCTCATAGGGAGGAGCTAAGCCTAAAATTTCTGTAATTTTCCACAGTGCTGTAAGTCAGTATTTAAGCCCTCAATAAACGGCATTCGGCATTTGGCATTCTGACATTGCCATTGAACGAATGACCCGCTGTCTTGTCTTTATTTCAATCTCTAGGCCTTCACCCGATTCATGGAACAGATCGTAGCACGGGCGCGCTACATCACCCAAATCTCAAAGGAGAGCATCTCAGCAGGAACCTCAGAATCTATCCTTTAAAATAGTCCCTTACTTGGGGACTGCAGAGATAGCTCAGTGGTTAACGGCATTTGCTGCTCTTTCAGAGGACCTGAGTACAAGGACCAGTTTCTATGTCAGGTGGTTCACAACTGCCTGTAACTTTAGCTTCAGAGGATTTGATGCCCTCTTCTGGACTCCATGGGCATTGCACTTACACATGCACATACCCACACACGGGCACATCATACAATACGTGTGTGTATTGTATGGCGTGTGTGTGTGTGTGTGTGTGTGTGTGTGTGTGTCTCCATCCTTTTCACCTTTGCCTCCCTGGACCACTATTGTTGATCTTAGCCACTGACTTGCTTTCCTTTCCCTTGACTTTGAATCTAGCCATGTGTTGGTCAACGGAATGAGAGCAAGCAAGACAAAAGGACAAACGGAGGCTTGCCTAGGTTTTCACTGTGTCTCCTTGTAGCTCTTGGGCTTGACTAGGTAACCATGGCCCCTGAAAGAACAGACCTGAGTTTTGCTCATGGTTAGAAGGCATGTCTGCTCAATGCCACACTGTAACCCAGAGCCACTCAGCAGAGCCCAGCTTGCAAAAGAATAAACAGCCTTAAACTTAGGATGGTAAGTTTGAGGGAGGCTGTTCTTGTTTGTGGGAGTCAGTCTCTTTATGCAGCCCTTTCCCGGAATTCTGTGTGTAGACCAGACTAGCCTCTAACTCACTGAGATCTGCCTACCGTTGCCTTTATGTCAGCCTCTGCTTCTACCTCTCAAGTACTAGGATTAAAGGCTTGCACCATCATAAGCTGCCTTTTGTTTTGTTTTGATAGGGTCTTGTTACTGTAGCCCTGGCTGACCTTGAATTTATAATTCTCCTCTGAATGCTGGGATTACAGGTGGATGGAATTTGTTACATAGCACTATTGTAGTAACAGTTGAGACCTGTCAAATATGTGTGTGCATAAAATTATATTTATATTCTAAT